CATGGCGAAAACGAGGCACTAGACAAGGCAATCCACACATGACGGGGTTGCTCATACCTCAGCCTATCCAACAAGAGCTTCACGCCTGCACCCGTGTGCAGGTCGCAGCCGTTCCAGGCTGCACATCTACTCGCGGCACTACCCTTGTTGGTCCGAGCATTGATTTCGCTCGTCAAAGCACTCTCGGTTGCCTCCGTGACTTCCAGAACTACAGGCCTATCCTGAGTAACCAGACCCTCAAACAACCCGGGAACCACCGACCAAGCTGAGTCCTCGAGATGTCGGGCCTTGGTCCTACTAAGCTCTTGGCTGAGCCGCTGGGAGGCACTGAGAGTGCGGCTGTGTGCAACCTCAGTCTCGGAGAAATCCCTTAGTTCTTGGGGCCCTGAGTCTTCGACCCACCCTTGCCCGTGGGAATCATCGCAAACGAGCCCTCGCTCATCTCGGAGTCCGTCTCCACGGTCTTCACTTCGCGCCGTGGCTCGCGGTCCTTCTTCATGTCCGCAATCTCCTCGCGCAACTTGTCCACCACATTGGCAAGCACCTCGATCTTGCTGCTGCTGGCACTGTCTGCCCCACTGGCATAGCCGGAGCTGCTGGCCTCCGATCGCGATGGCTTCTTGTCCTTGCGGTGGATCACCTCCGGCACGGGCATACGTAGTTCCTTCCGTAGTTCCGCCTGAGCCGTCATCTTCGCGCTGGCTCTTTCCACCTGTGCTGGATTGTTTTCCAGCCATCCCGCAAGTCGTAGTAGTCGGGGATCGGCTTCGGCACTTTCTTTGGCTGTCGTCACGACCCACCTGGCGTATTCCGTGTAGTGCACCTTGATCTCCTCGTAGGTGGCCGTGGAGTGTTTTCCGAACCCCACCGTATCCGTGGGATCCGGGCGGCTTGTCTGGTAGATGTGGAGCATCGCCAGGCGTTTCAAGGCGTTCATGGTCATGTTCTCGTCCACGCTCAGCCGCAGGTTGTTGCGACAGAAGCTCACCAGATCGGCCTTCCGATTGGAGGCCCCGTTGAGGTCCTGGACGAGGCGCTGGTACTCCGTCTTCTCGGCTCGGTTCTTTGGCGCTGGGCTGAAGGTGTTCTGTCCGGTAAGTTCCTCCAGACGGAGAAGTAATTCGGCCTTGGTCCACCGGGACGGGGCCTGTTCCCCGTACTCCGCGATGCGGGCTCGCAGCTGGGCATTGGTCATCGACGACATGTCTAGCTGTGGGCGAAACCTGGAGGGTGGTATCCACCTGAAGCTCTGAGGCTAGCGCGGCTCCCGGCGGTGCTGTATGCTGTTTTGGCTCAAGACTGGATTGTGAATCAAACTGCTCATCAGAAATAGCACTAATAGAACTAACTAGGGGATCGGATGTACCCTGAAAATCATCAGCGAAGCCCTTCCC